GCACGGGAGTCGCGCGTCAAGCGTTCGGCCACGGGTTGGAAGGCTTACATTCGGGATGCGGTGGCCATGCTCGGCACGCTTTACGGGAGGATTTGACGGCTTCTGCTGAGAAGGCCGGTTGTTGCGCGCTTCGTGATGCAGGGGTACCATTTGCGATCATCAGTGGGCCCGACCATCCGATCAGTTCGGATGGGCGTGAATGCGCCAAGTCACGGGGGGCGCCCTTGGCGCGCAGACGATATCTCTGATCACCGCGCCGAGCCCCAGCATTTTCACATGGGGGCCCCTGGCGTCGCCGAGTGTAAAGCGCGTCGGCGCGCCCACGCGGGAGCACAATGAAGAGGAGCACGCCTCCCACTCTCGGACCAGAAGGGCCGACGAGAAGCCTCGACGGCCGATTCTAAGGCCGCCGATGCAAAATCAAACGCGGCACGGTGCATAGCTTTGATCATCTCAAAATAATAACAATATATATATATATATATATATATAAAAAAACTATGCACCGTGCGGGCCAGAGACCTACATATGGCGAAGCCTCTCAGAGAAATATTCCTGACCCTTCACCCGCAGAAACGCTGGGCCCTGCGAAGATTTCCAAGGGCGGACGCGGGCGCAAGTCAGTCCACAAACCCTGCGCCACTATCATGCGCAAGCAAAAATTGCACCAGGGAGGTGGCCACGGTGCATGTAGGTCGTCCGCGGACATGGTGTGCAGTGTGTGTTCGGGCAAACTCGAGGTCTTCGGTCTCGCATATTTCGCGTGGAACATGCTCGGATTGATCTAATTCGTCGGGCCCTGGGGACATCGTGAACGCGCAGCACGTGCTTCATGGATTTCAGTAATCGGTCAGCACTCGCACATCACCCGTATTTAGATCACCCAAATGCGCTGTCGGTCTTGTTCTTGCAGAGTCGCCTGCCAATGGTAACGGCTCTGCTGCAGGGGCGGTGGAAGAGCTCAATGCAGCTAAGTACATGCGTTGCCGTGCTCAGCTGAAGGCAGGTCAAGGCAGATGGAGAGTGTTTGTGCCAGCTCATAGGCAAGTGGGTGCTGCGTCACAAGATGGTTGTTCCGTTCTGTAACACTGGTCTGATGAAGATGCTAGAATATCACCCTGCAGCCACATTACGCTCTAACGCCAGAAGCTGCTTCAGTGGTGCTGGATGTGTTTGCTGCTTCCGCCGAACCAAAACACCCAGATCGTGAGCCCCCCTTCTTCCCGTGTCGCCCTGGAAGGCATATCGTGTAGCATGGTTCTTTTGCGTCGTCGGCGGCCCCAGTACTTTGCATTGCAATTGTTCAGTGGCCGTCGTCGCTCGGGAGATGTTCAATGGCACATGAAGCGACAGATCTCGGCGGTTCCCGGCGAACTCTTCATGCTCAGTATAGATATTGATATTGATGTGGTGCGTGGTGATCTTACGAAGGAGGGGTCGGTTTTTGATTGGGCTGAACCTTATTCGTGCGTGACGGGTGATCCACACTCGGGGGGGACCTCCCTGTGAAACTCGATCGGAGTCCTGGTGGCACGATGGAGACCCCCCTCTTCAAAGGTCGTCTGAAAATACCTGAAGAAACCCGTGGGCCAGTACTCGCTGTCTCACAAGATGGCCTTAGACAGCCACTTGTTCCTACATGTTCTTATCCCATATTGATCACCATGGCTGGTTGCTGCCTGAGGACTCGTTGTCACAAAGTACGCGTCAAAGTGAGCAGTTTCGTATAGGTGACATGTTTTGGTTTGCCCTAGTCCGGTCGATGGCGGAGCTGTTGGGAGCGGGGGCGGGGGCTCGGTGAGAGCACCCTGCTCCCGCCTGGTGGGCCTTCGAGGCCCCCGCCTCCTTCGGGAGGACCCCGATCCTGGCTCCAGCGGCCTCGCGCTGCAGCAGGACTGTCGTTTTTGAAGGGGAACTGGGACGCACAAGTAAATACACCCAATAAAAGGATCCCGCATATTTTCCCATATTTCCTAATTTTTTGTCTCCCCCCCCACTTCCCATAATTTCCAACATTTACCTGGAAATCGAAGACTCATTGTGTCTGTGTGATTCTTTCCCTACTGAGTTTTTGATCCGCGTGAGCAGTGAGGTCCTGGGGCGTGCTCCTCGAAGCGCGGTCGAGCCCCGCCCCTGTCTCGTTGCGACTCGCATGGGGTCCTTGAAAGGGCCGTTTGTTAGACACCACTGGGGCGGGCAAGCGCTCGCACGGCAAATGGAGCCCGTCAGATTCTCTTGGGCGAGAGCGCCCAGGAAAGTTTAGGACGGCCAGGAACAAATCCTGGCGGCGATCGCTGCCAATATATATATATATATATATATATACACATATATATACATACATATATATACATATATATACACATAAATATGCACATACAATTACACACATATGTATATATGTATGTTTGTATATATATATATATATATATATATATATATATATTTGTGTGTGTGACAATATTGCCCAGTTGCTCGAGCCTGGTGAAGGCACATCGGCTGTTCCGGTTTGCGGCACGCCCAGTGTTCTCAACAGTTTGCAGGGTGTCGTTGCCTCTCTCGCTGGATGACGATCAGAAGTTTGATGTGGCGCATGACCTTGTCAGGCCCGATCACAGCAGGCACTTTTCTCGTGTTGATCCAAAACGCGCCCGTTTCTTTGATTCGAATGAAACGAGTTGGCGAGCCAGCCAGCTAGCCAGCCTGCGAGCCCTGTCAAGTGTCAAGGCCAAAAGGTGTGGCTGCTCCCGAGGAACAAGCCACTTTGGAACAGATCCTCGAGGAGACCGGCTGGGATTTCAATTCCCCTCCCCCCGTCTGCCATTCCCCCTCCCTCTCCCCGCGTGCTCCCATTCCCTCCCTCCGTATCCCAGCTGCAGCGGGTCGCTGCCAACAGAAAGGAGGCCTCCCGCCGCCGCCCCGCGCCGCAAGGAATTTGGTGGCGGCCACCAGGCAAGTCCCAGTCGATCTCCCTGGATTTTCCAAACCGTCCTGTCGTGTTGGGTCCTCGTTTTGAAAAGACGGCGCCCCGCGCTCGTTTTTCCCGCCCTCCCGTTTCCTCCTCCTCCTCCTCCTCCTCCTCCTCTCCCTCCTCTTCCTCCTCCTCCTCCTCCTCCTGCTCCTGTTCCTCCTTCTCCCTCCTCTCTGCGATTCACCCACCCAATGCAGCGCGTTGTGGCCCCATCGGGAGCTCCACCGGAGGCCCCAGTGGCAGGGTTCGCATGGCCTCCTCGGGCCATTTCGGCACGCCCCTCGCGGGGATCGTGGCCCCATAAGGAACTCCACCGAAAACCCCCAGTGGCACGGTTCGCATGGCGGCCCCGGGCCATTTTGGCACACCCCCTTCACGAGGATCGAAACCCCATAGGGAGCTCCACCGAGAGCCCCAGTGGCAGGGTTCGCATGGCGGCCTCTGGCCATTTCGGTACACCCCAGCACGAGGACGGTGGCCACATAAAGGGGGCCTCCTCCGAAGGCGCCAGCGGCAGGGTTTGCATGGCGGCCTCGGGCCATTTCGGCACACCCTTTGCGACGATCGTGGCAACAGAAAAAGCTTCACCGAAGACGCCAGTGGCAGGGTTCGCATGGCGGCCTCGGGCCATGTCGGCACACCCCTCACGAGGGCCGTGGCCCCAGAGGGAACTCCGCCGAAGGCTCCCAGCGGCGGGGTTCGCACGGCGTCCTCCGGCCATTTCGGCGCGCCCCCCACGAGGATCGTGGCCCCGTAGGGAGCTCCACCGAAGGCCCCCAGCGGCGGGGCTCGCATGGCGGCCTCGGGCCATTTCGGCACACCCCTCACGAGGATCGTGGCCTCATAGGGAGCTCCACCGAAGGCGCCTGTGGCAGGTTTCGCGCGGCGGCCTCGGGCCATTGCGGCGCACCCTCGCGAGGATCGCGGCTCCATAGGGCGCTCCGCAGAAGGTCCCAGAGGTAGGGTTCGCACGGCGGCCTCTGGTTATTTCGGCACACCCGTCGCGAGGATCGTGGCCCCATGGGGGCCCCAGCGGAAGGGTTCGCACGGCGGCCTCGGGCCATTTCGGTCGGCACGCCCCTCGCGAGGATCGTGGCCCCGTAGGGGGCCCCGCCGAGAGGCCCAGTGGCAGGGCTCGCGTGGCGGCCTCGGGCCGTTTCGGTGCACCCCGCACGAGGATCGGGGGCCCACAGGAGGTCCACCGAAGGCGCCAGTGGCAAGATTCGCATGGCGGCCCCGTGCCATTGCGGCACACCCCTCACGAAGATCGTGGCCCCATAGTTGTGCTGCTTCAACAACCGCGCCTGGGCGTCGTACTCCGCCTTGTCGACGTGCAACGCCACCTCCTCCCCCATGGCTCTCAAAGCCCTATCCTGCTTCTGTGCTCGGTCAGAAGGACGCCGTCCTTGTCGTCGCCGGCGCCCGCGAAAACGGCCACGAACGTGTTCCTGAGCATGTCGGGCTCCGGCGGGATGCCGTGGCCACAAAAGGAACGCGGGCGAAGATGATATCCACACGCGCGGTATTCACAACTGCGTATGGTTGGGTCCTTCGCCAGGCTTATTGCTGTTTTCACCTTCTGCCACCCAAGCGCGGACGGATGTACTGAACGGCGCGGAGGAGCAGGCTTGGCGGGGCTGCCTTGCTTCACTGCTCTCCTCCTCGGCCGTTTCCTTGTTGTCATCTGTCCAGAAGTCCTTCTTATCTAGTTGGCTTGCGTTGGCGACCCCGTTGGGAGCACACGTCGATCGTCATGCCACCATTCGCAGCAGCAGCCTCACTCGCTCCCCCCTCACTCCCTCCTCCTCCCTCCCCGCCTCCGCGTCCTCCTCCTCCTCCTCCTCCTCTTCCTCCTCCTCTTCCTCCTCCTCCTCCTCCTCCTCCTCCTCCCTCTCTCCCTCCCGCCCTCCCGTCCTCCTCCTCCTCCTCCTTCCTCGCTCCTCCTCCCTCCCTTCCCTCTTCCCTCCCCCACTCCCGCCTGCTCCGCCACTCCATCCCCCCCCCTTGAGGGCTGGCGGGGTGGCGGCGCGTTCCACGCGCCGCTGTCGACGCCCTCGGCGCCGAGGCCGTCCGCCTCTCCCGCGGCGAGGGGAAGTGGCCGCGGGGGCGGCGAGGGCCAGCTCGGGGCTGGGACGCATCCACAGCCCCGGACGGAAGGCTCAGAGTGTCGCTCTGGGGGCGTGCCAGACGCCGGTCGCTCCACTCGTGCGTCGACGCTGCGTCGAACGCCCGTCGACTCGACCCGATCGACCCTGAGCAGCCCCTGAACGGGGGCCAATCAACGCGGAGGGGGGGGAGGGGGGAGCACTTTTTGGGCGCACGCGGGCGGGGCGGGCGCCACTCGCTCTACTCATGCGTCGACACTGCGTCGATTTTCTTGGCGACTCGAATCGAACTTGAGTGGAGCCAGAGTCGAACAGATCTGTGAGGAGGCCAGGAAGGTCCCCTGGACGAGCGTCAGAAGAGGCGGCCCTGGGGAAGCTGTTTGGCGGGCGACATCAAGGTGAATTAAAAAAGACTCGCAAGAGAAGGACAACCTGCACGGTTTCCCCTGGGGCCGTAGGTGACCCGAGGAGGAGAAGGAGAGGGAGGAGGAGGAGGGAGGAGGTGGAGGAGGGGTACGGGGGGGGAGGAGGAGGAGGAGGAGGAGGAGGAGGAGGAGGAGGAGGAGGAGGAGAGGAGGAGGAGGAGGAGGAGGAGGAGGAGGAGGAGGAGGAGGAGGGAGGAGGAGGAGGAGGAGGAGGAGGAGGAGGAGGAGGAGGAGGAGGAGGAGGAGGAGGAGGAGGAGGAGGAGAGGAGGAGGAGTAGGAGGACGAGGAGGAGGAGGAGGAGGAGGAGGAGGAGGAGGAGGGAGGGAGGGAGGGAGGGAGGGAGGAGGAGAAAGAGGAGGAGGAGGACGAGGAGGAGGAGGAGGAGGACGAGGAGGAGGAGGAGGAGGGGTCGCCTAAGCCCTTCGGAGAAACCCTCCAGGACAAATTGCATAGACATCAACTGTTAGCCGGACCGCGCCGGGTGCGTCGCCAGAGGCGCCATCAGAGGAGCCCAAGGCCGATCCAAGAATCTGGCGGGCCTGCTCAATGAAACGGGCAGACCCAGTCAGGGCAACTTCCTTAGCACGTGCTTTGCCTTCCTTGGAGGTATCGCTAGTTGGCGTTGCTTGGCGTCGCTTGGCGATGCTTGGCAGAAACACAGCCACAATCATCCGGGAAATCCGAAGAGAGCCTGTTCAACAACTGCGAGGCAGCAAAACTAAAGAGCCCATGTAATCCTGAGAAAAGGTCTTCGAAAGCGTGAAGGAATGAATCATGGCCAAAAAAAACAGATAATTCAAGGAAAGCACAATGAGAGAACAAACCCAAGGAAGAACCGAGGAACGCATTTTCAAAAACAATGGGAACACAAAACCCAAAGAACCAGGGGAACCCGAGAAGGACATGTTCAAGGAACCTGGGTAACGCTTTGTAGGGGAACAAAGCCAATGAACCCCGGGGAAAACCCATTTTAAGAAAGAAGACCGAGGAATCTTGGGAACCCCGGCGCGACCGTGTCCAGCACCCACCAACCAAACCCATTTGTGGAATGTATTTCCTCGCCGATGAGCTAAACATGATTGAACCCAAGAGTTAACAGGACCAAGGCGGGCTGAACGGGATCAGGCTGGGATGGGCGAGAACCGAAACGATCACGCAACTCATCGACAACGGGTGTGCCATCCCCGATACTGAATTAATGAACTGGGGCGGAACACTGCCTGAGCTATACAGCACGCTGGTATCACTAGGTGACGGGTATACATCACTCACGCTCATCATCACGAAACGAAGATAATAGCCGGCATAATCGCGCGGCGAACGAGGTCTAAACCGTCGTGTCACCTCGTCTGCACCCTCCCGCGGCATGCGCGAGCGTCTGCCTGGCCAGCCAGACACGGTGCCCCTGCGAACCGGCTGCTGCCCATTAGGAGCACAGAGGCTCAGCGTTTGATGATTCACGCCCTGTCCAGGTGTCTGAACAACTTAGCTACCCAGCTCTGGCCATTCTTGCGCTGGTCCAAATTTGACCCAACCAATCATGAACCCCACCGAAGCATGGGCATTCCTGGGCCTGTCCAATGCTCCTGCCGATGCTGGGTTCAAGCTCCCCCGAGACGGGGAAGTGTTCTAGAAACACGTGCGGTGGGTATGGATGACTTTGGCCCCCCCGAGGCCCGCGACTATACACGTCCACTGCTTTCTCGGGTCCTGGGCACACTGGTACCCTTAGGTCGGGCATGTCCTGGCGAAAGCCTAGCCATACGCAGTTGTGAGAACCGCAGTTGTGGGTATCGTCTTAGGTGGAGCCCCCTATGGGCCATGAAACGCTGTGCTGGGCAGGGGAAGCGCATGCGAACTTTGCCACTGGGGCCGTCGGTGATGCTCCCGATGGGGCCACGAAGCGCTTTGCTGGGTGGGGTTGGCGCATGTGGACACCGCCACTGGGGCCGTAAGTGGGGCTACCTTTTGGGCCACGCAACGCTGTGCGGGAGCGAAAGAAGACGTTTGTGCACCCGCTGGCACGGCGCTTAAGCAAGTCAAGCAGCTTCATTACTTAGGTGCGCATCTGTCAGCCGACGCAGACGCAGGGCCTGAACTAGGGAGCAAGATCGGCGAATCAAGAAGGATGCTTTCGACGCTCAATGCATTGTGGTCCCATTCCTCTCTGACTTGGAGACGCAAGTGTCGCATGTTCTCTTCAGTGGTGGAATCGAGATTGCTTTACGGGCTCGTTGGGGCATGCTTGAACAAAGCCAAAACACGTCGTCTGGACGGCTTCCAGTACAAGGGCAGCAGAAAGATCATTGGCATCAAGCCGTCATAGTTGTCCAGAATACCAAACGCAGAAGTGATGAGCCGTGCGCAGCACACGGGTGCCAGCACCCTGCTACAATACCAGCAGATGCTTCTGTTCGGCGACGTGCTGCGCTCACGTGAGAACAGCCTGCTTCGCCGCACCACGTTCGCACCGAATTCTTTCACGCCGGCGGCTGCTGCCAGAGTGAGGCGCACAGGCGCGCCGAGCAGAGAGTTCGCTCCCATCGTTTGAAGCACTCAGTAGGAATCTTCGGCAGTGTTCATGCGACGATATAGAGGCAGCGCAGTCTGTATCGGGCTGGAAACGCACGCTGCGCCATCACATTCTCTCATTTTGATTATCCAACTGCTTTGTCTCTTGCATTTTCCGCGCTCTGTCTGTCTACGCACCGCCTGGTGTACGACTCGGAAGAAGAAGCAGAACGCTGTGCGGGGTGGAAGGGACGCATGTGCACACCGCCACTGGGGGCCTCAGGTGGAGCTCCCTATGAGGCACGAAGCGCTGTGCTGAGCTGGGGAGACGCATGTGGACACCATCACTGGGGCATTAGGTGGAGCTCCCTATGAGGCCACGAAGCGCTGTGCTGGCTGGGGTGAACGCATATGGACATATGAACAACAACGCTGGGGCCTGAAGTGGAGCTCCCTATGGGGCCACGGCACGCTGTGCTGGGTGGGGGAGACGCATGTGAACACCGCCACTGGGGCCTTAGGTGGCGTTCCCTGGAGGGCCACGACGTGCTGTGCTGGGTGGGGGAGACGCATGTGGACACCGGCTTGGGTCCTAGGTGCTTTCCTGTGAGGCCACGAACTGCTGTGCTGGGTGGTGGGGCGCATGTGGACGGGGCCATTGAGGCCTTTGGTGAAGCTCCCTATGGGGCCACGAAGCGCTGCGTCGGGAGAGGAGGGCGCTTGTGGGCACCGCCACTGGGGCCTGAGGTGGAAATCCCCATGGGGCCACGAAGCGCTGTGCTGGGCGGGGATGACGCGTGTGTGCACCGCCACTGGAGCCTTAGGTAGAACTCCCTATGGGGCCACGAGCCGCACATACCGCCGCTGGGGCCTTCAGTGGAGCTCCCCATGGGGCCACGAAGCGCTGTGCTGGGTGGGGGAGACGCACGTGGGCACCTTCAACGGGGCCTTAGGTGGAGCTCCCTATGAGGCCACGAAGTGGGGGAGACGCATGTGGACACCGTCACTGGGCACACTGGTACCCTTCTGTCGGGCATGTCCTCATGCAGGCGGGTGTTGGAAGACATTAGCCTGGCAAAGGACTCAGTCGTAGGCAGGTGTGAATCCCGCAGTTGTGGGTATCGCCTTAGGAGCAGCTCCCTATGGGGCAACGAAGCGCTGCGCTGAATGGGGGAGACGCATGTGGATTCCGCCGCTGGAGTCCCAGGTGGAGCTCCGTATGAAGCCAAGAAGCGCTGTGCTGGGTGGGGGAGACGCATGTGGGCACCGCCACTTGGGCCTTAGGTGGAGCTCCCCAAAGGGCCACGAATCGCTGCGCTGGGGGGGGGGGGGGGATGCAGTTGGACACCGACGCTGGGGCCTTGAGTGGAGCTCCCCATAGGGTCACGACGCCCTGTGCTGGGTGGGGGAGAGAGAGGCAGGGGTGGAAGGGAGGAGGGGGAGGAGGAAGGAATGAATGAAGGAAACGTGGGGCGCTGTCTCTTCAAAGCGAGGACCCAACACCACAGGATGGTTGGGACATAACCAAAAAATAACCTGGCGAAGGATCCAGCCATATGCAGTTGTGACTACCGCAGTTGTGGGTATCGTCTTCTGTGGAATTCCCCATGGGCCATTAAGCGCTGTACTGGGCGGGGGAGACGCATGCGAGCCTTGCCACTGGGGCCTTCGGTGGAGCCCCTATGGGCAACGAAACGCTGTACCGGGTGGTGGCGACGCATGAGAATTTTGTCACTGGGGCCTTTTGTGGAGCTCCCTATGCGGCCACGAAGCGCCGTACTGGGCGGGGGAGATGCATGTGAACAGTTCCACTAGGGCCGTCGGTGGAACCACCTATGGGCCACGAAACGCTCTACTGGACAGGGGGAAAAACATGTGCACTTTGCAGAGGGGGCTTCCAGCCGAGCTCTCCATGGAGCCACGAAAGCTGTACTTGGGGGGGAGACGCAAGTGGACAGCGCCATTGAGGCATTCAGTGGAGCTCCCCATGGGGCCACGAAGCGCTGTGCTGTATGGGGGAGACGCGTATGGAGACCGCCACTGGGGCCTTCGGTGGAGCTCCCTATGGGGCCACGAAGCGCTGTGCTGGGTGGGGGGGGGGCGCATGTGGACACCGCCACGGGGGCCTTAAGTGGAGCTCCCCATGGGGCAACGAGACGCTGTGCTGGGCGCATGTGGACAACGCCTCGGGGGCCCCATGTGGAACTCCACATGGGGCCACGGAGCGCTGTGCTGGGTCGGGGGGGGCGCATGGGGACACCGCCAGAAGGGCCTTCGGTGGACCCCCCCAGGGGGCCAAGAGAAGCTGTGCTAGGTGAATTGGGCGCATGTGGACACCGCCAGTGGGGCCTGACGTGGAGCTCCCCATAGGCCACGATACGCCGTGCTGGATGGGGGAGACGCATGCGGACACCGCCTCTGGGGCCTCAAGTGGGCCCCCCCATGTGGCCACGAAGCGCCGCAAGTGGACACCGCCACTGGGGCATTATGCGGAGCTCCCCATGCGGCCACGAAGCGCTGTGTTGTGCAGGGGAGACGCATGTGGACACCGCCCCTGGAGCCTTAGGCGGAGCTCTTTAGAGGGCCACGAGAAACTGTGTTGGGTGGGGGCGACGCATGTTGACACCGCTACTGGGGCCTGAGGAACAGCTCAGCATGGGGCCACGAATCGCTGTGCTGGGTGGGGGAGACGCATGTGGACACCGCCGCTAGAGCCTCAGGTGGTGCTCTTTAGAGGGCCACGGACCGCTCTGCTGAGCAGGGGAGACGCATGTGAACACCGCCACTGGGGCCTATGGTGGAGCTCTCCGTGGGGCCACGAAACGCTGCGCTGGGTGTGGGCGAAGCGCATGTGAACAAGGGCCTGAGGTGCAGCTCCCTCCGGCCCGACGAAACGCTGTGATGGGTGGGGAAGGCGCATGTGGATACCGCCACTGGGTCCTGAGGTAGAGCTCCCTATGTGGCCACGAAGCGCAATGCGGGGTGGGGGGACGCATGTGGGCACCGCCACTTGGGCCGTCGGTGGAACTACCCATGGGGGCACGAAGCGCTGTGCTGGGTGGGGAATCGACGACGAAAACACGCAGTGGGCAGAGGCAGGGCTGGGAGGAGGCAGGCGGGGGAACGGCGATGAGGAGGAGGAGGAGGAGGAAGAAAACGCGGGGCGCTGTCTCTCCAAAACGAGGGCCCACCTCCACAGGATGGTTTGGAATAGTCAGGCATATGATGCTTCGATCGATCCCCACCGAAACCTTCGGCGTTTGATCCCAAAGGTGAGCGCGCTCATTGGAACGATGTGCGCGGGGCTCGGCGGGTAGAGTGGGCCAGTCGGCGCGGGGTTGTGGTGCTGGTGGTAGCTTGTGGTGGTGATTCAGAGTGGCCGTTGAGTCCGCACGTGCGCGCTTTTGTTGTGGTGTGAAGTGTGGTAGGTATGCTGTGTCCCGTGTGACATATAATGTCATGGGGAATGGTGTTACGCAATGGCATGTGTTGTTCTGGTATATCATCTTATGCCGCGCTGTATTATGTTACGCGCTGCCATGGTACATGTTGATGTGTGCCTGGATGATGTGCCATGATGTGGCTTGTTCTGCCATGGTATAGTATGTAACGATCGGGTGTACCATGTTTTGTTAAGATCTGCGAGGGCATGTCATATATGCTCCATTCGGTCATATCATGTCTTGTTATGATGTGTCGTGCTACGATACACTATGGCACGTAATGGTATGCTGCGTCATGCTATGTTTGTGTAAGTTCAATTCTGCGTTGAGGTGTTATGGTGCAATTGACTTGTAATGGTATGTAATGATACGTGATGTAATGCTGTGTTAGGGTAGGTACTGCTATGCCATGGTCTGGTATGTTACGATATGGCCTGTCATCATATGGCATGCTATGCTCGGAAATATTATGCTGGGTGGTGTGGTGATACGCTCTGTTCTGTGGGGGACCTGGGGATCTGGGGGCCGCGGTCTGCAGAGTGGGCGAGTCGGCGCGGGGGGCGGGACCCTCAGGGATTATCGGGGCAATTCGGGATCTGGCGGCCGCAATCTGGGCCTGGGAATATTGCGGTCGCGGTGTGCAGGGCGGGGGAGGTCGGGACAACCAGGGACTATCGGGAGCCTGGGGGATCTGGCGGCCGCGGTATGCAGGGCGGGGGGGGGGGGGCCGGTATCGACAACCTGGGGATCTGGCGGCCGCGGTGTGCAGGGCGGGCGGGCGGGGAGGTCAGCTAATAAAACCTAGCGACCCCATCTTGCCGGGTGGGGAAATCATCCAAAAAGCACGAACAATCGTCCTGGGAATAATGTTTGACCATTCTCGAGTCTTCCCCTTGCAGAGGGACGTGCCCGACCTAATGGCACCCCTAGCGGTGGATATGCATGAACTGCGGCCCCAGAAGTGTGCAGGGGGCCCAGCAGAGCTTGGAGGACTTCGAGGATCGAGGTTGGAGAATCGACGACGTGACGTTTTCTATAACTTTGTACAAGACGTGAACGATAGATCGACCCCCGGACATCCGTAAAATCATCTGTACGTCCCATTCTGTATTAGAAGAAGCATCGACGACTTTGAGGATTGAGCGTGCGCGCGACGTGACGCTTTCTGCAACTCTGCCTCTTCGGGTGCTCCAGAAGCGAGCCCCGAGGCCTCTGCTGGGGATCACCAGGAGCCCGCGGACAAATCCGAGCTCTGTTGGACGATTGGGGCTCCAGGCGCCCGCACCGCAGATGCATGGATCTCTGATCCATGTTAGCCTTAAGTCGCGCCTGTCCCCCTACAGGGGGATTTCCACGAAAAATCAAAAATACCCCCCAAATAATCAAACAATACTCCAAAAATAATCAGGGGACTATTTTTGGTGTATTTTTTGACCTTCTTGGGGTATTGTTGGGGTATTTCTTATTCTTCGTCGAGAATCCCCCTGTATCGGGGACACGCCCGACATAATGCTAGCGCCTCCCTGCATGGAGCCCACCGGCGCGCGCGGGGGGTCCCCCGCCGCGGCTCTGTCCGCGTTGCCCCCGACGATCGGGTCCCTGTACCTGCCGCTGGCGCGCCCACGAGCCCACCCCCCCCACCCGGCGTACCGCGCAGGCCGACGAGGGATCACCACCGCCCCCCGCCCCTCTTCCGTCCCTGGCCGCTTCCCTCTCCCAACCAGCTTCTGCCTAATGGCTTACAGGCTCCCTCCGACCGCTGGTCCCCGTTCCCCATCAGTCCTCTCTCTCTCCGCGGGGGGCGTCCAAGAGGGGGGGTCGCAAAGCATGGCCGGCGGCACGTGCGCGGCCCAGGGGGGGCCCAGGAACGTAATGAAATCAGAGGAGGCGCCATGACATCTGGGGAGACATCATGGCCCCCGCCATGATATCCCCCCCCCTTAGTCATCAACCCCCTCTTGGCAGTCCCCGTCCATTCACCTGGGCCCAGCCCAATACCCCCCCACCCCCGCAAAGACGGACCGCGGCGCGGTGACGTTCGGCATGCCCTGGTCGGGGCGGTTGCTCGTCCACGCCGGGGCGTGAACGCGGCCCGACGGCTGGAATTCCAACCGCAGATCATGCTCGCAAGTTCCGTTGCTTGATCTGAACCAGAAAACAAACGACACCACCCCACCTACGGCCCCACGGGCCGTAGCGTATACCAAGACACCTGGCGTGGGCTTCTGCATGGTATACGCTGGGGCCCCCGATGGGCCGTAGCGCAACGTGGAGGGCCGCAGGTGGGGTGGTGTCGTTTGTTTTTTGGCCGACGATTATGTTATTTCGAGCACCCGGAAAAGTGTCGAAAAAGTTTCGAAACATTGTCGGACGAGTGTCTCCCAGGGCCCGATACGTGAAAACCCTAAGAGTTTTGGGGTCCTTTCCTTGCGCTCGACATTCTTTTTGATGATCAAGGCAAAAGTAGGTTGGAACATCATAAGCCGACGATCCACTTCCCTCCCTGCCCCGCCCAGCTCTCTACCTGTTCTCTCCCCCCTTCTCCCCTTCCCCCCCGTGGTCCGTGCGCGCCTCTCGCCCCCCAATCCCAGCCCACCTGTGCCCGTTATCCTGCTCTGGCACTCGCGCCTCCTCCTCGTCCTCCTCCTCTGTCCGCCTCATCCTTCCGCTTCTTCGTCCTCCGATGATTACTTGATTGATTAACGCTCGTAGTATTATTACCACGGATCCTAGCATCATTGTGTTATCATTAGTCGTATTATTAAAATGTTTATGATTATGATTTGTATTATTCGTCTGATTAGTCTTATCAGTATTACCATCATTATTCTTATTATTGATAGTGTTATAATTCGTCTTCTACCTCTCAATATCACAGTCTTATCGTCGTATCATTATTCGTATGTTTATTATTACTATTACTGCTCGTATGCAACATCATATTCTTCTTCATTCACCAAACGCTGTTTGTACTTAGCGGTTGTTGCTTCTCCTGTGAGAGTTCCGGCCTGTCTCCCAGTCTGGCGGTTGTGTTGTCGCCGCCGCCGTCTCGTCGCAACATCGTCCCCGCCCATCGTCTGGGCTTCTCTGCCGGTCTGAGTGCTATGTTGTCGCCGTCGGCGCGGAAACGCTGCCCCAAATAGATTGCGCCGCAAACATTGCACACCATAGACTGCACCGAAAAATTGCCCCATGTAGATTGCGACACGTACGCTCCCCTTCCTCAATTGAAACATTGGGGCGCAACATCATCCCAAAACCAATGTTATCGCCCCCCCGACCCGTGGGGATGTGCAATGTATGACTCCGCCACGCTGTGCGCCCTTAGTTGAAATTCGAACACACCAACCAAATCGTTCCCGACCACCTCAACCGTGCTGTGCAGAAAACACTATGCGCGAACACTCGTGTATCAAATGAGAACATGATACAATGAACAGGCACGTGTCGTCGCGCGCATGCCGAACTGTTCCAAACAAAAATTTCAAAGGTCGCAAACATGTCAAAATCGAATGGCCGGAACATATTTGAAAACACAACTGTTTGTTAAACACGATCTGTGCACGCGCTCTTGCGGATACCTACGGGGAAACATGTGCGTGAGTGCGTAATGTTCACCACACTCGATCGAGCGGACCTCTCGCGCGCGCGTCGAATTCGATCGGGTGCCTTGCGCGTTTGCTTCGGGGGGGGCCACGACCGTTGTCGAATACTAGACTGCGGGCCATTCGCGCCCGTCGGCCGCGCGCGCATGCCAAAATCCTCCCGGAAACTCCATCACCGACGCGCGGAAACCATCATCGCCATCGGCGTGATCAGCATCGGCGCCGTCATTTGCCTTGCCATCGTTATCATCATTATCATCGTCACTACCATGAGTGCAAGCATCGTTGTGCTTGCCG